TTGTCTCGCTCAGCCCCCCCCCCCCCCCCCCCATGCAAACATATCAGTTTTCCACTTCAGTATTTATATTGTATACAGGTTATTTTGAGTTAAGCTGATGCTCATAATGCACAGCATGTTTAACGTGGCTTTTGTCTTCAACCTGTAACAAACAATGGTGATCATCAAATCTGAATCCTGTAAAACTCATTTCTCACATTCCTACACACTGATTACGCCTGTGACACACTTACAAGTCCCAGAGTCTGCCAGTAACAACCACTTCCAGGACTAAAGGTAGTTATTTATATCACACCTTGACTGCTGGTGTGGTTCCAAACACTTGACTCATCAGGTGTTATCTAAGAATGTTACCGGCACAGATCTGACAGACTTACAGTATTTCCTTGTCATGAAATATGCAGTTAGTTTCTTCCTTTTCTGTCTTTCTATTCACCTCCATGTTTGTATTTTTGTCTGTTTTCTGTAGTCACTGTGTTTCTGTGTGCATTTATGCAGGTGGCCCGGAAACTGTGGACATGCCTGTGTGGAAACACGCTTTTCTTCTTCAATGAGATGAGAGATGCTGATGTAAGTTATCTCAGAGATTTAGGTCAATAAATGACACCGGTCTGGATAATTATTAATAAAAAAACATTCTTGATCAAGACCTTATGTGTGTGTGTTTCATCAGTACATAGAGAAACTGGATCTCAGTGGAATGATCTCAGTGACAGACGACAACAGCCAGGATCATAACTTGGATGCAGCCAGATTCATCCTCCGGATTAAGGATAGAAATATCAAATTCACTGTGAGGGAGTGTATAGACTATATGCAAGTTGTCCGCTTTTTTCAAAGTATTATTTTCTTTTTTCATAGTTTTTCTGTCTTCTGTCTCTATAGGCTCCTAGCGCAGAGGCTCGTGAGCTCTGGAAGGGCTATATATATTCTGTGGCTAAGGTCTGTGCATAACTTTTATCTCACTTTAGAGAAACAACCATAAATGTCATCATCTTTAAAAATATTAGATGATTAAAGATTGAGTGTGATAAGTCACTGATGTTTAGGGGCATTAACATCAGGCCGAATATAGATAATTACACCTCAGCTGCACAAAACAATTAAAACAGAAATTATGTATCTGTCTCTCTGCAGTTGTTTGTACCCTCCTCCCTCAACCTGCTACCAGGCCAGGTCCAGATGCTAAAACAGACAGTAGAACTAGAAAAGCAGAGGCCAAAAAATATCATTCCACCTGCAGTCACCAGCTGCAGTCACTACGTCAGTGTCCAGGCAGACATGCCAGCGTGAGTACTAATGAGTAATAGTGATGCCCATGATCAAGTGAAAGTGGTGGCTTAAAATGTGCATGGTTAGAACAGCCCCAGACACACTTTAGCATAGTGTTGCTGTCCAGTGTAAACCACATTTCTTTTTGTTTAGTTTGTGCATATTTGTTCATTTTCCATATCAGCTTCAGGATTAAAAGTTCCTTTATGGGGTCACAACATTCTCCTGTCTTAGGCCAATTATCGTCTTAAACTCCACTGAAATATTCAAAATCTTAATTATGAAGCTTTACTCAAGCCTGTTTTGTTCTTTCATCAAAAACTGACACTTTGGAAATTGGTGATAATGCTGATACATATGTATTGATTGATGGTGTATGTATGTTATCAGAAGATGTGTCGGTATCATATGTACTTACTCTGTCTGTGAGATCTGGATGCATCGATGCTGAACTCGGGTTTAGATGAGTGACGTTTTTCCTTCTGTCTCATTATGGTGGATTCTGGCTTCCTGCAGTTGTTATCACAGTGTGTCCCGTGTGGATGCAGAGCTGCTGCTTGAAAAAGAGGCAGAGAGAGGGAACATGCTGCTGAGGCCTGGAAGGGATGGAAACTCCTTTGCTGTCACCACCAGACAGGACCTTTATGGGTACACATATAATAGCTTCCCATGTAGACCTAAAACAGAGGTGTACATACAAACTTGCTAAAACACACTTCCACCATCATCACCATCATCAAAATAGTGACGTTTTATTCATCTGAATGATCTATAATTTGTTGGTTTATTTAATCTGTGTCTTCTGTGTTTTGATTGCCTTCCTCTCTCTCTCTTTCTTTGTTAGCCCTGTATTCAGACACTACCGTGTGACTCGTAAACATGAAGGAGGATTCTTCATTGATGTCGACAATCCTGTAAATATATTTTAAAAAATCAGGTTAAACTCAAGCAACTTTGCACTGTATGTGGCACAGTTCTGGTTTTTGCAGTGTAAGAATAAGAACAATCTTCTGTTGTTATTGGACAGAAAATAAAGTGGACTGACAGCATTTTATAGCTTGATTAACAACTGCTTTTTTGACATGTATACTGTAAATGAGCTTTAGCTGGGTGTAACTTCCTAGCAACTTGGCAAATCACCTCCTGGCAAGGAAGAGGGTGATTACCAGTTAAAGCGGACTGACAGCATTTTATAGCTTGATTTTTATCGCTTTAGCTGGGTGTAACCTCCTAGCAACTTGGCAAATCACTTCCTGGAAAGGAAGAGGGTGATTACCAGTAAACACAATGGAGCAGTAATAATAATAATAATGATAAAACAGCTTGTGTTGAGTCGCCACAGTCATTCCTTTTGCTTGTGCTTGTGTAGTGCGACTACGTGACTCACTAATGATTACACTGCTGACATAAAGTGAAGCATGCATGCACTGATTTTGTATGTGGTGTGCATAGTTGCACGATTTCATTTTCTTCACTAATGACACGTCAGTAATTAAATTAGTATAGTATAAGTTTAAAAACCCCATTTTATTTGTTGTATGTGTTATATGGCTGTTAAATAGACTTGTTCTCTGTGCAGGTCCCCTGTGCCACACTACATGATGTCATCAACTATTTAGTAGAAAAAACGAATGGAGTTCTGATTCCTCTCCTTATTGAGCAGACATATGAAGACCACATCTGTATGTATAAAAACAGGCATTTTCATCTCGCGATGGAGTTCTGATTCCTCTCATTGAGGATACATATGACAAAAGCATCTGTATGTATAAAAACAGGCATTTTCATCTCGCATTCCCTTTCACTCCATTAATTTTTTTGTGTAATTATTATTCCATATACCAAAGGGTTTACATTACTCATTAAAGTTCTGGATTTTTTTACAGCTTATATTCTGTCTGATGTGGAAAGTGGAGAGATGAGTGTGCAGCAGGCACTCTCTATTGTCCCACCAAGTGTACCTCTCAAACCAGGTACGCTGTAAAAACACACAGGCCTACATAAATGCACATGCGCCAATACTAAACTACTGACCGTTTGTTAGACTTGTTTACTCTGATGTATTCAGTGTTTGGATAATACTTCTCTGCCACAATCTTGGACTGACTTTTTCTAAGTCACGGCAGCACAGTTACATTTAGTTGATTCTGTTTTATAATGTAAATCCACTTAACACAGTGCAACTGTTCAAAATTTGTATTGACTTTATAAATATATTACCTGCACTTCCTGGAAAAGCAACATATCTTAAGGGTTGGGTAGATTCACTTTGTACTGGAATGTACCATAAGAATTTCTGCCAAAATGTTCACCTCAAACATAATTTGGTTCAGC